GCAGACCATTTATCTGCACCCAAATGCACCAGAAACTTGTCCTACTATAGATCGAATCATTTGGGATTTCTAAATGATCAAGTTAACCGCTCATTGAAGTTTGCTATTGCTGAAAGCATTCATAAGAGATCCAGGACCTTCTAATTTATTTCATAGCGTATTGCACCAGTATAGATATCATTATTATTAAATGGGACAAGTTTCTTCTTTTTAGAAGCTGGAACTGGTAGTCATTTAGAGACTCCTGACAGAAATCGTCGTATTTTCACTTTTCTTCAGGCTGTCAAGAAAATTCAGGACAATGTTTACCCATTACTTATGACATCCTCGTACATATTATTGCAGCTCATAGAGCAGACTACTTTGATTCCTATACTGATTTGTTGTTAGAAGCTATGTTCACTGTTGCCTTTTATGGGTTTTTAAGGTGTGGTGAGTTGACTTCTATCAGTAATTATAATCCTAATGAAAGACTATTCATGATGTTTTCATGTTGCCTGATTTAATTAAATTAAAACTGAAAGTGTCAAAGTCTGACCCCTTTCACAAAGGTATTTTAATTAGTTTGTTTCCAGGTAATTCCTTCTTATGTCCTGTAAAGTCCTTATCTGCTTACATTTTGTTACAATATTTGGGAATTTAGACCCTTTATTTTTATCTTCCGATGGACATGCGGTTACTGGATTTTTTTTATTAAGCATTTACATACCATTTTAAACTATTTAGGTTATTCGAATTTCTACAATGGCCATTCTTTCAGGATTGGAGCGGCTACATCTTCAGCTAAGTCTTGCATGGCACATCATAATATGATTAAGTTTTTAAGACGATGGTCCTCCAATTGTAATACAACATATATCAGACCTGATTTAGATTAACCTTTAAACAAGCGGTTAAACATAATACAGGCTGATCACTTTAGTTTGGTACACAAAATACTATTCTCTTATCATATTTGTTTGTTTGGCAATTTCTTATTCATTATTTACATTCTGAATAATTTACCCCAAAGTAGTCTGGAGTTTTTCATTTTTATTTATAAAGAGAGAAAGAGTGAGTGAGTAATGAAATGATCTCACTCAGATGAATAAGAGAGGAGAGAAAGAAGATAGGTGAACTGTGCTACAGTGTTTGTTAGTAAACATGATCAATAATTAAAACCTGGATAAAATTAAGCAATAATATATATACCTAAAATATAGCTCCATTACATATCCCCCTGCTGGTTCTGCTGGTGATTCCATTGGTACATCTGGTGTTTGAGAACTTTCATTCACCGCTACCTCTGAAACTTCTTCATCTTCTGACTGAGCTTCTTGTTCAGATGGCTCTGGCCTTACCTTGTGCCCGTATTACTGTGGCCAAATTGCCCTGTGCCCGTATTACTGCGACCAAATTACCTTGTACCATTATTACTGTGACCGAAATACCTTGTGCCCGTATTACTGTGACCATAATACCTTGTGCCCGTACTACTGTGGCCAAATTACCCTGTGCCCGTATTACTGCGACCAAATTACCTTAGTCCCTTATTACTGTGACCGAAATACCTTGTCCCTTATTACTGTGACCCAAATACCTTGTGCCCGTATTATTGTGACCATAATACCTTGTGCCCGTATTACTGTGACCAAAATACCTTGTTCCCGTATTACTGTGACCATATTTCTGGTGACCAAAGTAACTGTAACCAGATTTTATAGTTGGTGAATTTGGAATGGTTCAGGTAAAAAGTTCCAATCTCTGATTGCTGAAAAAGAATAATAAATATATTAGTTCTACATTTTTATTGTTCAAGAAGGTAATTGTTTCCAAGGTTAGATGAAGATTGTTTTGTTTTGGTTAAATTTCAAAGATACGATGGAGTAACCTAGTTGTTCATTTTATAGACTATAATTAGTTTATGCCATCTTTCCTGCAGTAGTATGAAACCGGTCTCTTGGTATAGTAGGCTTATTGCCCTCACAGCTCCGCATATAGACCAAAGTGCATTATATTGTCGTTTTTCTAACTTATCTGTTCATTCGGTAGTGCACCCTTTCACAGTATAGTTGAAATGGGGGACACTAAAAGAGGTGTATATTGTTTTAAAAGATTCTCTATTTAATCGATATTTCAGAGATAGTTTATGAGCCTAACAGTTTCCTATAAAAAATCCGCTGTATCCCACTGGCAGTTTGATCGAGAAACTTTTTAGTGTCAGTAAGATCAGATTCTTTTTAGTATAATGTGCAAGTGATTCGGTTATAAGCTGGTTGAATGAAACAATAGAAAGTAGATGTGTTCTAATGACTTGGAAAAATATCAGTTTGTCTCACATGTCCGTGATTAATTCATAATTAGCTAAACTAGAAGAGTATATACCAGCATTCCAAGGAGTGACCGATCAAGAAAGGTCAAAAGGTATTTTTTTGGTTAACCAGACTATGATTGGTTAAAACTCTTAATTATATGCAATAGGAGCATAATATTACGATTAAGAATACATGATAATTCATTAGATACACAAATTAATCAAATTGTTTGCTTAATTTGCTACTAAAAAAAGGAAACTTAATGGTCCCAGGAAAGAGCGCAATGAAACACCAGCGGGAACAGTTTAGGCTTAGAGGAAACTCCAGTGACAACAACACTTTGTTATTTAAATCAAATCCATGTGTGTCCAGAATTATCCGCGTTCGAAATGTCGTCTTTTCTTGAGACACTGATATATATATATATAGAAAATATATATATATATATAGAAAAAACCTCTATAGAAATAGGCAAATAAATTCTTAGTTGGAGATAATTCTAAGGTTTTTGTGCATTTCTAATACTTCTAAAGACTATTCACATATATTCAAGACTCAAATCAACCCCCAAATCACCCAAATTGTCCTATCTTTAATGGCAGAATCTTGTTTCCTTGGCGATTTGAATTCACAATTTAAATTCAGACAAAATTCTAATTTTGGTCAAAATATCGACGAACTGTCCTCTTTTGCAAATTTCCAAATTTTTTCCCCACTATTTTCATGAGAATGGGAATAGCAGCCCCAAAATAGGCCAGTCTTAGAATGTCTTTGTGTTGATAAAAATATATGCGTGAGCACACATTATGTCTTCATAATTTGTGTGTACAGAGTAATTGTCAACCAAAATTAAAAAGTATGTTTTGATTTTTTCACTGAAATTTCACCGGAATATTATTATCGTTTCAGAATTCACCGGGGAAGATTAGAAAAGGTCTGAAGAGTGAAATATTCACAGTATACCAAACACTGTTTTTAGCGTATGGAAACGATAAAGAACCGTCTGTGAAACGCCATTGCTAAAGTGTGGAATACGAGGGAAGTGGATAAATATTTCATCACTGAAAGTTCCTGAGATTCATTTCATTTTTACCGTAAAATATGTTCAGTAATAAAATATGATACATAATTTTAGATATTGTCTATATAATTCTAGAAAAAGACCTGATCACATTACCAGGCTCGTAGCCATAACAGGGCGGCTATTCTACAGGCTCGACATCCTCCAGACTCAGACTTTCTTTGGCACAAAGGCCTGCTTGATCATTGCTAGGGATAGAAACATTCTTCGGCGATAACCTCTGACCTGCAATTAGAAGAAGTGTAATTGGCGGATAGCCATGCGTCCCAGGTGGCAAGAAGTTCTGCTGTGAACACAGTGCGGGGGGACCTTTTACCAATGCGGATGCTTTTTGCTGGGATACACAAACCGTAACCTGTTGACGTAGCCTACTACTTTTGGAACTAACTCTGGCAGACGACATACATATACAAAGATAGCTTGCCAGGCAAGGTAACATACGCCCATTGGCAGCTGGTAGAAATGAGAGCTAAATCTTTATTGACCAAAAATATAATAAAGATCTTTATAATAATAATTCATTTTGAAAATTCTCATAATGCATTTATGCACTTTACATATCTCATCAATTTACGGTCAGTTATGCTGATTTTTTCCAAAAATCTTTTTAAATCAATAGCAATAACCCAGAAGCATTGAATTATCACACTCCTCTAATTTCTTAAATTTCAAAGATATATAATAAGGTATCATCAAATTCACACCAAGGTCTCATCTACATGTAAAATTTGAACTTGACTAAGATCTCATTAATTTATACATGCATACAGAGTTTCATCGAGATCTGATAAAGACTATAGGTCTCATCATGCTACCAGGTCAAATTTGGGGCATTTTTACTAAGCTCAGGGAAATAACTAAAATACTGTTCATTCAAAGTGAGCCAAATTCATTATTGACAGAGATCTCGACCTGCATACCAAGTTTCATTAAGAATGGATAAAAAATGTAGTGTTATCGAGTTAACAAGTTAAATTTGATGCGTTTTTACTAAGTCAAGGGCAATAACTCAAAATCCGTTCAGCCAAAATGAGCAAAATTCGAACTTGATTGAGATCTCGTCAATATATACATGTATACCAAGTTTCATTAAAATCGGATAAAACTGTAGCCCTTATCGTGTTTACAAGAAATGTAAACGGCAATATACATCCACATTTCCATGTGGGCGTATAAAAAGCAAACATATACATGAGCAACAATAAATATATAATAGTGAATTTAAAGCCAATTTACACTGTAGAGAATATCACACCACTACATCATGATATTTGTGTTTAATAATCCGATGGAAAACTTGTACCAAATAATATATGATATGTCGAATAAATCTTTTATGTCAAGTTAGACTTAGATTGGAATAGGGTTATTGGGTTTAATATACGTACAATCCGTAAAGAAACGTTCATTTTATTCGTTGTCACTTCATAAATCTTTAGTTAATCCGTAAAAGGATTGTTTAGCATACTTCCCTCCAGTTTTGAATCTTCTTTGTTCATCTAAGTTTTGTTAGACCCTATAACGATCACTATTTAAAAAAAACTGCGATGTTTGTCATATGAGATTGCATACTGGAGGGAAAGGACATACTTTTACCAATGTATCAAAGTTTTGGAAAAAAAACCATGGATCTAAACAACGACATCGAAATACATACTGAAGTCAGCGAAAAAAGTAACAAATGTGATGCCTACAATAGATCCTTTATTCAGTTAAGCAATCTTAAACTCAACCGTATGCGTAAAGCATATAAGAAGCCTTACAAATGTGATGTTTGTGGAAAATATTTTAGACGGCCCAGTGATGTTGATACTCATATGAGATTACATACTGGAGAAAAACCCTATCAGTGTGATGTTTGTGACACTTATTTTTCCCACCAACAATCACTTCAAAATCACCAATGTGATGTTTGTGACATGACCTTTAAAGAGTCAAGTTCTCTTAAACGTCACTTCAAAGTACACACTGGAGAAAAACCTCATAGATGTGCTTTATGTGGAAAATGTTTTCCACAACGCAGTTCACTACAAATGCATATGCGAATACATACCGGGGAGAAACCTTGCAAATGTGATGTGTGTGGAATGTGTTTTACAAATCCAGATACTTTGAAATGTCACTCAAGAATACATTCAGGAGAGAAACCTTACAAATGTGATGTTTGCGAAAAAAGCTTTTCTCAACAAGATGCACTGAAACGTCACTCAAGAATACATACAGGAGAAAAACCTTACATATGTGATGTTTGTGGAAACCGTTTCAACCAAGGCAGCATGTTGAATGGACATAAGGAAATTCATCATAAATCCTAATTTTTCCATTAAATCTTAATTTTCCCAATCTTTTTTGATGTTTAACAACTTTTGGTGAATTAGGACAATATTCTTATTCCTTATTACTTTTGTAACCTTTTGATCTCTCTATTAATTGTATTGTTTACTGCCAAAACAAGGTTTGATCAAATTAGACAGAAAACTGTCACATTTATTACTATCACAGACACATTGTAAATAAGTACAAGGCAATTACTAGAAAACTTGTTAAATGTGAATACATTTTAAAAAAGGTACACTCATCCATTTCAAAGATTATGTCAAATGTCATCAAAATCAATTGAAAACTTAAACTTTGCAATTTTTAATTGCTAGTTCATTTCAATTTCATTGATCAATAACAAGTTTCATCAAAACCATAAAATTGAAAAATCTAAATATTTTAATTGTTCCTGACTTCATTGTTTCATTGCGTACTTGCGTTATATAAATTAGAACTCCTATTACAGATGTCTACTACAAAGAGGACACAGGGCATCAGTCTGTAGGTCAGAGATTATTGTTAATTGTATACTTTCAGGGTAAAAACTTACATTGATTAATTTCCATTTATCATCTAATCAATGTAAGTTTTTACCCTGAAACGATAGGATTAACCATAATCTCTGACCTACAGACTGATGCCCTGTGTCCTCTTTGTAGTAGAGATCTGTAATAGGAGTTCTAATGAGTACCCCCAGTCACATGATCTTAAATTGACTGTTTTCTTAAAGACAAAAATGCCCCAGAAACAATTTTGATCTAACTTTGATGAAATTCTGTATGCTTTTATATATTGATTTCAACCGAAACATGTAAAAATTGGCTGGTAAATACAATAAATATTAGTGTTTTGATCAGACTTCCAATTATGCTTTGAATAAACTCTGTTTGCTTATGTACATAGATAAGATCTCAAACAAGTTTGATTTTCACGATTTTTTGAAGAAAATCTTTTCGATGGTGGCCAAATATCATCTCAAATAATTTTTATTTAAATTGTTTGCTTATTTTGTTAAAGATATTTTCTAAATTGTTTATGTGTATTATGTAAAAATCAATTTGCACTATTTCAATTTTGAATCAGACGTCTGCTAAGTGTTTCACTAATTGCGAAATATGCTTTATCACTTAGTTTTAGTGGAATTGCAGGAATCACATACATCTGATTGAAAACTGGAATGGTGCAAATTGATGCTATCAGTGTCCCTTATGCACATAAAAAATATAAGGTGTATAGCTTTTTGACTCTATTTGTTTCATGTCGATGTTAGTTTTATCAAATGATGTAAAGAAAATGAACAATAATATTGGCACTACCAAAATCTATGAAATTTTTTTTTTTAGGCCAGTTGAGTCTGTATGTTCAGTTTGGTGATAATTTCATACCTATAGTTTCATCCATATCAAATAGAATGTATAGAAGTTTTGATTGTACCAATGTTACACTGGCCTCCATCTTTGTCTACGTACAGCTCGTCATAGACAGGAATAGTTTGGGTGTCAGAGACTAATGTTACACATTACACCTACTTAGTAAGAATTAGTTAGTAATATTTCCAATAGGGATAGTTATTTATTTCTTTTCATATGCCGACTTAAAATGTAGAACATATATTGGCGTCATCCATTTCAACAAAATAATTTAAGTTAGTTTGTTTCCTTTTGACTTCCTTGCTTTCACTCACAGTTCATGTGTACACAAATCAGCAATGTTTGTGGAAAAAGTCTCATCTAGAATTAAATCAAGAGAAACATGTTGTATAGATACCTTCTGATATAATAATACTTTTTTAGTATTTAGTTTTTAAATATGATTTCATTATAACTAATGACAATTCTTTCAAAGATCATTTATATACGGGTACAATATTTACAATAAAAGCAAAAGAAACAATTAAACAGGGTTATTTATTGCTAAAATGCATTGAAACAATGTAAAATTACGACCCTCATAGTCTTCTATAGATTTTTTCTGGTGACATGGAATCAGTATTTCACGTGACTTTGTTTACTAGAATATTGTGAACAACATGAGGAATTCAAATAACAGCTTTATAAGGGAATCTGGCCAATAAAATATTGTGTAATTCAGTAATAACTGAAATCACCATTTTTCACATTAGAATTGAATAAAAAAATATCTTCTTGCTTGTTTCTATGAGATTCATTCTTCAGGTTGACTTGGTAGGGATATCAAAACATGCAGCTGATGATTTATTGCAATATGACTTAGGGTGAACTACAATTTCCAATGTTCCCCGAACTTATGGTTCTACAAAATTGAATAGTATTACTGTATATTATATGGAAATAGCTTGCCAGGCAAGGTCACCTATGCCCACTGACTAAAATTAATACAAAATTTCACATAATAAAGAATCAGATGAATACATGTATTTGCAATATTATGGATGGTAATATAAAAAAAACAAACTGGTCTTCACGTTGCTGGTAAGTTTGCAACTGCCTTTTCAACCAGATCAGGTGTTAAAGGACGAAGTTTATAGGCTGTTGATTGCTGGGATACACGCTGCAATGGATGTGCTAATAGTTGTGCCATGTACACATACAGTTTGGTTTGATTTTTTGAGACTTCGAATATGTATGATTGCCCTTTTTTGTCCAAGTTACATAAACTGTGGAAAATCTCCTGAAATTAAATAGAACAAAAAAATAAAAAAATGTCCCATTATGCCAGAAATCCTGTAAAAAGAAATGTATATAATTTTAGTCTTAGCTTATCATTGTAATCACTATCTTATTTTTAAATTACTGTACCATCTTTATCATCATGATTTTTACAATGTCTTGATTTGCTTAGAAGGATATATATAACGACAAGAGCTCAAAGGAAAGCCTAAAATTAACAGCTTACTGAAGTTGGTTGATTAGTGAAGAGCCAGGCTGTATAATGATAGTTTAAGGTATACTAGATAGTTACCCATAGATTATGATCATCTTCAAGATATATGAAGAATGTTCAATTTGTTTGTGATCCTTAGATTTTTGTCAAAAATTATTTGTCTTGCATTGGCCTACACAATTTGTCTAAATGTCTTAAATTCAATAACGTCCCCATTCAAATATTTTGTAAATAAATAATAGAAAATAAAATCAAAATTATGTATAATTGTGTGTCATAGTGGTTTATTTCCATATTGCCCCTTCGAAATTCACACAGATTTGGCCCTTCCCGTCCCCTTCCTATTCCATTCCCCATCTTTCCCTTTTCCTTATCGCTTGTTTCATGTCACCCCTTATTCCCAATTCACTTAAGTGTAGCCCTTTGTCCTTCCGAATATTTACTCCATTTTTAATGGGGTTTTGAATGAAATATGAGAAATTTTTCTTGTTATGTTAAGTTTACTTTTCATTTTATTGTCACGTGCTACAGTGAACACATGTGAGAAATTTGCATTCATTTACCGATGAACTACAAAATTCCTTAGTGATTACTGATGACATAATGACGTCGTAATGATGTCATCTGTGACAACTTGGGATTCAGCGTATGAATACACTCTTTTTAGGTACAAAGCTAATAAGGAACACCTGGCCAAAGGCCTAAGAATGAAAGGCGAAAACTGAAAAAACAAGTGGTTGCCTAGCAAGATACGCCTACTTCCCTGATACATTTTCAGTATATCAAGGGCAGTCAAATCTAATTTGTGCAAGATACTGTTCATTTAAACAAACACACAAAATAAACTGTCACCTCTATTGCGTTCGCAAGCCAACAAATTCTGATGCATTTTTACTAAGTCAAGGGCAATGATTCAAAAACCGTTCATCGAAAAATCTTCAAATTCGAAATTGACCAAGATCTCATGAATATAAATGATCACACCAAATTTCTTTAAAATCAGATAAAAACTGTAGCCTCTATTGTGTTCACAAGCCAGGGGTGACAACAATGTACGACCACATTATAATGTGGGCTTATAAAAATGAATGATAAAGAAACCGGCAAAATTCTGGTCACATGATGGAGGAAGAAAGCCTTGGAAATATCAGTATCACTCTAAGATATTCAAATTGCTTTATAATATGCAAGATTTAGGTCCAGGCACATGTCCAATTTATGATTTACAGCTTTCTTACTCCATCTTGTGACTCATCTTTTTTCCTCTTTCCATTTTATTGTCTTGGACCTTTGAGGGGCCCCAGTGGAATAGGTCAAAATGAAATGAAATGAATGGTGTTTTATATCCTGCTTGAAGAAAACCTAACCATCTTTACGATTCAAGATGTTTATCCGCAATTGACCTCAAAGACGGAAGTGATATTCATTTTTCATTATAGGGAACTGAAATGGTTGGATAAACCCGGTTCCATTGTATCTTCAATATAACAGAACTTAGAAATTGCATGTTTACCAGCAATTGATCTCAAAGACGAAAGTGATATTTTGAAAATAGTTAGTTTTCAGATTAAAAAAAAACATAAATTGCAGCTTGATCATGGAATTTTCAATAAATTGGTTAAAATTATTATGTACATGCTATACTTACATCATCAGATTTTGACCGTTTTTTGTACCCTTTGGTATATTAATGAGATAATGAATGAGTTTGACAAGTGCAATTTATTCAGAACTGCTTTGTGAGTTATTGCACTGGACTTGACTTGGTATCATAACTAACATACTCAATCATAATGTAATAAAATTATAAGTAACATCTTACCTCACATGAATTATCTTCAGCTAATGGTTCATGAATATATAATGAATCAAAAAATACGTAAGGTGATGATTCTAAAATTCTTTGTGACTGAAAATATTAAAAATTGATGGCAAATTGATGATGATGGCAAGGCAAAATATAAAATATCGATCTGCATTTTATTAAGATTATTTCTGCAATTAATACAGTAAAATCATTTTGACTGTTGGTAAATATACATAACATATCCTAGAAATTGTAAAGTTTTAAAAGTTTTTTAGCTTTGTTGAAAAAAATACCACAACTAGTTGTTGAATCATTGTAACCACTGCCTCTTAAATGATATACACTCAAAAAAAGTTGCTACATGTGCCCCTTCTAGATCGCGTTGTTCTCGATAGTACAACAGAAGAAAGTGGTCGATGTTTTTCTAAAGGTATTTTATCATGATGTTGCAAAATACAACCAATGTAGATGGATACAAATTACATATTCAGACAATTGCTGTCGACCGTCCTCGAGTCCAGTTGTTACTTTCTGTCACATCATCATCAGTGGAGATTATCTATGTTAATTTTGTGTAAGAGGCAAGTAAATGATATAGTCCGAAAGACTCATTCAAAACAGACGTGATTACGCAAATTGATACATTCTGCCCCATCAGCTTATATCGCAATTTTTAAATATTAAAAAAAGAACATGAAGTTCTCACCTCCAAATTAGAAAGCTTTAACAGACAATTTGATCTACCATATAAAAATAATATTCTAACAATATATGGTGGTGGTAAAATAATATCATCTACTGTTGGAATATCTACTTTATCTTCTCTAAAAAAAAATATATCAAAATATCAATCAAATCCTTCATAGAAAATCACCCTTCACAGGCTTAAAACTTAACAGTTAAGGGTATTGTAAACAAGTGGCTGCCTAGCAAGATACACCCACTTTCCTGATACATTTTCAGTATATCAAGGGCGGTCACCTATCTGTGTCAAATCATACCAAAACTCTAATTTTTGCAAGATATTGTTAATTTACACATTATTTAATAAAATTCTGACATAAACTGTCACCTCTATCGCGTTAACAAGCAAACAAATTTTGATGCGTTTTTACTAAGTAAAGGGCAATAACTCAACTTCCATTGATCGAAAAATCGTCAAATTCAATTTTGACTAAGATCTCATGATTATAGTAAGTAAGTAAGTAAATTATTTATTACAGTGACATGTGCATGAAAACAAATAATACAGAGACGTGAATAATAATATAATTATAAGCACCCAGCCCTATGGGCTTATATGTCACTATGATGGTATAAATGTTATTTCGTTTATGGACAGCGGTGAGACACAAGTTCTATTTTGGAAATAGTGTTCTCTGTCTTTTCATGAAGGCGTGTACTAAATATTTAGATAGTTTTCTCGGAGCATTATTTGTTAATGACCACAATTTTTCGTCATCTGACAACATATTGTTATCTATCCACTGCTTTCTATATTCTGGATAATGTGAACAGTGAAGAACGAAGTGGGTTTCATCTTCAATGGCCTGATTTTCACAAAATATACAGAGCCTATCCTCGACCTTTTCTCCAACAAATCTACCCGTCTCCACCCTTAACCGCAAAACACCACACCGGAATTGGGCTAATAGTGATTGTTCATTTCTCATGAGATTTAGTGAAAGATATTCTTCAGTTTCATATGTATGTTTCAATTTTACGTAGGTTCTAAGTTTTGGAGAATTGTGCACGTTCTGTTGCCACATTTCATTGACAAGTGAGAAGAGTCTTGATTCAGCGAGTTTGATGTCCACAGGGGTTTTGTATATAAAATGAGACACTAAGTTTAATTTTTCAAATATAGATTTTATATCCGCGCACCAGTTTCGTACCGTGTCACACAAATTGTAGTCAAAGTTAAATACTCTTTTGGTTACACGACTTTCGTCCATTTTGATTAGACGATTCCAGAAGGACAACATTTTGAGCCACCGCCGTTCAGTTGGAGGAATCCATCCTACATCAGCGTTGATAGCCAGATTTGGGGTGAATCTATGGACGCCAAGAAGATATCTCAAGGCTCTATTTTGGACAGAATCAATGACTTTTCGAGGTTTGAAGCCCCATGTTGAGCAACCATAGTCTAATTTCGGTTTTACACATGCTGAGTAAAGCTTCTCGTAGTATGGTATCCAAATTCCTTCAAATTGTGCATTTTTGAAATGATTGACCCCAAAGCTCTCCCCCCGGCTGTGGACAAGGCATCTGTAGTTTTAGAGAAGTCCGAATGTTCGTTAAATACAACACCGAGATATTTGTAATTACTCGTAAAGTTTATTCTGTTTTCACCAACACTAAATGTAGCCTTACTTTGGACCATACCTCTACGCCTGAAATGAATACTTTTAGATTTTGTTGAGTTTATCAAAACCCGCCATTTTCTACACCAGTTATGGAGACTGTCCAACATGCTCCGCATTCCATTCTCGGTTGGGGACAACTAAACGATATCATCTGCGTATAGGAGAATTGAGAGACAATCTGAGCCAATTGAGACACCTAAATTAAGACTGTTGATTTCTGCTACAAGGTCATTGATAAAAACCGAAAATAAGGTGGGTGATAGGTTATCACCTTGGCGCACTCCTGATTTGCAGTCAAACCAGTCAGTGTAGGTTTCATTGATTTTGATACATGCAGACGTTTGCAGATATATATTTTGGATTGAGTTGTAAAGTTTTCCATCTACACCATTAAGTAGGAGTTTGTATAACAGGAATTCCCTATCAACAAAGTCAAATGCCTTTTTTAGGTCAATGAATGTGGCGAATACTGAGCTACTGTTTCTGGTGATGCTGTTAAGGGCGTAGATATGGTCTTCACATGAGCGTGATCGACGAAATCCATTCTGTTCGTCAGCAACGAGGGAGTGTGTTTCAAGATATCTAGATAGGCGGTTATTGATGAAACTGCTGTATAATTTTGAGATACAGCATAGAAGACTTATTCCCCGATAATTGAGTGGTAATCTCTTGTCAGATGAAGCATCCTTCAGTATTGGAAATATAATAGCTTTTCGCCATATTGATGGAGTGATTCCTGTATCAAAAATCTTTTTGATTAAGGCAAGAATGAATGTGGCGAATACTGAGCTACTGTTTCTGGTGATGCTGTTAAGGGCATAGATATGGTCTTCACATGAGCGTGATCGACGAAATCCATTCTGTTCGTCAGCAACGAGGGAGTGTGTTTCAAGATATCTAGATAGGCGGTTATTGATGAAACTGCTGTATAATTTTGAGATACAGCATAGAAGACTTATTCCCCGATAATTGAGTGGTAATCTCTTGTCAGATGAAGCATCCTTCAGTATTGGAAATATAATAGCTTTTCGCCATATTGATGGAGTGATTCCTGTATCAAAAATCTTTTTGATTAAGGCAAGAATGGTTTCGGTGATCAGGGGGAATTTAAGGATTGCGTATTGCGTCCAGTCCAGGGCACGAGTTAACTTTGGCTCTTTGTGTCACCCGTATTATTTCGTCTAACGTGAGTTCGTTCGTGAACATGGTCTGGATTAGATATTATTGTTTCTATCAAAGTCTTATCTTCGATTATGTTCTCATGAAATACTTCATATGGTGAATTGTCAGAGTTGTATAAGTTTTCATAGTCTAACCTCCATTTTGCAAGAACTGCACTTTCGTCTGTTATAGATTCATCAGAGTCATCGACAGTTTCAAATGGAATCTTGGAATCTTTCCTTGGTCCAAGGGATTTAATAGCTTTCCAGAATTATTTGGGGTTTGTGGTGTTCAGTGAGTCTATATTATCAGAAAAATGTTTCTGATATTGACGCTCAGTATCTCTTATCAAACATGTCTCGTGCACAAAGAAATTGTTGTCTGCAAGTTTGTTTAACGGATCGACCCAAGGTGCTTTTCCGGAATTGGCGCTCTCTGAGTTTAACATTATTCCACAGATAGCTAAGCTCATCATTCCAAAATGGTTTTACGCGACTACGTTTTTTATGATATGTTTTTGGTATTGGTTTAGGTCCTTAACCTCTAACACGATAACATCACATAAGTTGTCATATAGCTTGTCAATCTCATTTTGTGACGACCTAGAGGACGATATTTTATCGATGATGTTCCTAATTGCAAGTTTGCTTGATTCAGATTGAAACAAATTGTTCGATATACGATTAAGTCTAATCGGTTTCGGAGTTTGATTTGGAAACTGATTACCATCGTGGTTACTATTAGTACTGTTTGCAGTTGGTACACAGAAATCAACTATAAGAAAGCAATGGTGTGGAAGTCTGCTCCGATTCCCTAGTAAATGATGCAAATTACCCTGATCCACAAGGTCTGAGGTCAAAATAACATTAAAGGATTGACACATGGGGAGGACTTCGTGAGGAACACATATATAATCCACCACCGATCTACCACGGCTATGAAGGAAAGTGAAATTGTCTGAACTTGGGTTAAGCCTGCCATTGACAATGCACGTTTTGGAATCCCTGAGAAATTCCAGAAGTGCGTGACCATGTTGGTTGATTTTTGTGTCAATGGATACTCTTTCTAGGGTATTGTCTAGTTCGTTGTCTACGTCCTTAAGAGAACCAATTCTTGCATTGAAATCGCCACATAGAAAGACTGCGTCGTATTTGTAATGAGTGTGGAACTTTGAAAGCAGATGTGAGTAGAAACCCTGGGCGTCACGCCCCCACTGGGAATTTTCTGGTGAAAGGTAACAGCTAAACACGAGAAATGTAAATTCTCTACTTTAAGAAGTTAGTGAGATCCCTAAGATTCCGTATGAACGGTCCAGAATTGTCACAGTATATTCCTTAAGTATCCATTCTTTGATTAAGAGACCAACACCCCCAGAGCCTTTAGGTGCAGATATGTGTGTATTTATTCTATTAAGACCATACCATTTCCACCCTTCTGCATCTATAGTTTTTGTATCTGTTAGGTGTGTTTCGTTTATGCTTATTATATCAGCCTTAGATTGATTGATAAGAGCAATACGCAATTCTTGGTTTGAATTAGTCCACCCACAAACATTTATATGAGCTATCTTTATCTTACGGTTAGAGCTTTCGGATTGCTATTGAGGCACATTATCGGCCGACAAATCATTTCTCTGCTGGGATAGTATGAGTCCGTTCGTGTTGACTCTTAATGATCCAGGATTGGGCGGTGCTCTTAAAGTGGCTTTCGCATTGCTTTCAATACGACGTTCAACATATGATTTTGAGGATTTCAGATACACATTTGAAAAATCTTGCGACTTTTTGAGGTTCATCTTTTTTCGGAGAATCTTAATTTTCTGTTCGGTATTTTTGAAACTGATTTTCACAAGACCTGGTTTATCGTATCGCCTTTGTGGTATCCGTTTGGTAGCTGTGATCATCACAGGTGAATTCGGATCAAGAGCCAGAGTTTGTATAAGATGTGTATATTTGTCGGTTAGATTCTCGGACTCTTCGTAGTTTAAATTAAATGCAATTATTGTGACGTCATTGTTTTCAGTAGGGTCGCGGTTATAATTACTAATTACATTGCTCACGATAGTATCTTCAATATTGTTCATTCTAGACTCTACACATTGAACCTTGTTAATGACTAAATCAATCCTAATACTTTCACCGGCCAAATCAAGAGTTAGCTCATCACTAAGTGTTTTAATTTTTCGAATCCATATTATTCAATAAGTCTGATTTTAGTGAATCCAATTTGTTTTCGAATACCGTTTTAAGCGATTCCTGATTGTCTTCAACTATGGAAACTTCTGATATTAAAAGAGCCAATTGGGCAGAAATAGTGTCAATTGATGCAGAGGAGGTGGGCACTGTGGTCGCCATTTTATTCAATTTGTTTTCTGGTTTAGGCGTGTCCCCTTCACTATCCCGATCTCTCTTCTTCATGGGAATAAATAATATATATAGTCAATGCTACTTACAGCTCTAGTTTTCGAGCCTTTAATCCAGTAGCTACAAATATATAACGCTTATACAGCACTCAGGTCACGCTTCAATACAGAGTAAACAAAAAGAAAACACGTCCTCTCTCAACGCTGTCCTCTATATGATTATAAATGATCATACCAAATTTCATGTAAATCGGATGAAAACCGTGTTCACAAACAAATTTTGACACATTTTTCATAAATCAAGGGAAATAACTCAAAAACGTTCATCGAAAGATTGTCACATTTGAACTTGTCTAAGATCTTATCATTATAATTGATCACACTAAATTTCATTTAAATCGGATGAAAATTGTAGTCTCTTTTGTGTTCACAAACAAATTTTGATGAGTTTTTCCCAAGTCAAGGGCAATAACTCAAAAACCGTTCATTGAAAGGTGGCCAATTGTGGACGGACGGACGGACAGGGCCGACGACAATATACGATCACATTATAATGTGGACGTATAAAGATTAATGGAGGTGACGACTTAAAGGAACAAATGCGTCGATTTGAGTCTTGAATATATGTAAATTATGTAAAGTCTTCAGAAGTACTAGAAATGTATGAAAATCACATAATTCCTTCACAATTATCTCAAACTAGGAATTTCTTTTCCTATTTCTATAGATGTCTTTTCTATATATGGCAGTGTCTCATGAAAAGACGACTTGATTTTTTTAACATTCAAATGCGGATAATTCTGGAAACACATGGATTTGAAGGCCCAAATTTCGACGGTGAGCTGTGAACACTATTACTGATTGACTTAGTCAATTTTATTGTGTAATATAATAGTCTTTATCACAACTTGTCTCACATTGATATATACAACGTGTATCAAATCTAAGGCCTAAAGCATGAGACAGAGGAATACTTATAAAAAGAGTGCATTAGTGTTTTGCTATTTCCGCTTAAAATGTTTTGATTCCTTAAAGTATCATTTGACAGCATTTGTTGATACAAAATAAAACTAGAAATGCAAAAACATCAGAATCGAAATGCAAAAACCAGCTACCCAAGAGTTGCATTTAAATGTGATTTGAAGGCTTTGTATATGGCCTAATGTGTCTTTAATTGGAATCTAAATCATGCAATCTATTAACTACTTCTTTCCATTTAAAAAATGCTGTTCTTTTTAATATGACTGACTCAATGATTTTAATAACTTTGGAAATGAAATTTGTATCGAAACCAGAAATGAATATTTTGTATGCACAATCTAGTAAATCTTTTTCATCAGAATGTGTAGTAAGTAAATTAGACAAAGTAGGTATGTCCCTTTTTACCCTTAATAGAATGGTGGACAATCTGTAAATTTCTCACTTAAATAGCACCAAGCTATAGCATCTATTGTTTTCACAAAATAAATATTCAGAGATAGAGCGACAAAATACATGTGTCGTACGAGAGTGTACTAAAATGTACTTACATGATATCAAATACTTGAGAAATATCAAATGTATTTGATACAGGTTTATTTGAACACATCAGATCTTCTAACAAAGTTAATATGTCTCTTGGGTTGTTGGTAAAGTCACTCACCTGTCAAATTTATAAGAGTTACAACACAAACATATTTTATGTAATAGGTACTGTCTGATACACTATAGAACCTGCTGTTTATTTACTTTAAGTAACTTGACTCATGATCTTAAAATCAAGTTCAACCAGACAATACTACAGTGAAACCCCTTTAAACCACATCCTCTATAAACCGGATTCCTCTGTAAACCGGATTCCACTGTAAACCGATACATTTGAAAAGTCCCAGCCATTTGGTCATTTCCCAAGCTCAAATTTGCGTTAAATTAGCTGATTTTCGAAAGTTTAGATCATAAACATGGAACGCCCTAGCAAACGTCAACATGTTATGCAAAGGGAAATAAGATTAGAGTAAAAAATTGTTAGTTATTATAATGACATTGCGTGGTGTCCAGTTAACATCATAAAGGGTGATAAAGTCATACACAGATGTAACTCTGTTATATTGCCCACTCCTACTGGTAAACCGGCAACCCCTCCAAACCAGCATTTTACAGTAGTCTGACGGCCTGTTGGTTTAGAGGGGTTTCACTGTATTAACCTCTTATATAAAATGAAATTATAAATCTTATTATAACAATAAGATAAGACAACTCTTCAAATGAATAACTAATGTGGCGAAAGTAGCTCAATTGGGCACATTTTACCAAGTATCAGGTTACTATTTTTCTAACTCTAGTTCATGAGGCTTTTGCTAATAGGGATTGTAAAGAGGATTTCTAAAAAGTTTTTTATGTGTATTGGGGACACTGATTGCATCAATTTGCACCATTCTAATTTTCAATCGGACGTCTGTGGCTCATGCAATCCACTAAAACTAAGTGTTTGATGACTTTGATAAGGGCCTTATGTAATACAAGCATATTTTGCAATTAGTGACGCCATCAAATACTTTGTTTTTTTGGAAATGCCTCAACAACAAAAAATCTTTTTAATTCACCATTTTCCCCACTAGATTCTTCTACAATATTACACTACAGAATTAAGACTTCGCAGACAGTGGAGTATTTTGTTGTTAAATTACTGCAAAGATCACAAATATGAATATTGACTGTCAATTCGTAGTTAAATTTGACTTTGAGAGATTGGAGTTCAATAATTTGTAGTAAAAGATATTTGAACTGCCAATTCAGATCTCATACATCAAAACTTATACATACCCAGGTTGCTCCATCATCCAATACAAGTAGAGCAAACTCATGTTCAAAATGTAGCTTAGATTTACTGTTTAAAAACAAACGTAGGGCTTTGAGTAACACTTGTATTTGAGAAAATTTATCTCTGAAATATAATAAATCAACTACTTAGACATATTAAAACAGAACCTGAAACATGTTGTTACTCTGAGTTTCACTCTGTTTGATCATCAGACATCTGACCTATTTCATGACGTAAGCTGAGTATTTACAAAATTGTGTCTGTTCAGAAAAGGGTGACACCAACAAACGCTTTATATGGATGGTACGGTTTTGATTGGATGAGATTTTAACCTTTGGCCAATTTGTTTCCATGAATTTTTAACAATACTTACCCTGCTCTACTTCTAAATGTATCCTTCTCCATTTCAGAACAGAGATCTAAACAAATTATCTGTAAAAAAAAATTGATATGGATAATACTAATGTTTATAAGAGCTGGATTTCATCTCAGTTCGAGCTAAATCCTTAGCAAATCTAATGTTCTGCTCTGCTTACATTATGTGTTCTCAAACTCAACAGCGCAATGGATGGCTCGTTTAGCGATTTGTTGTGTTTGTGGACCGCTACAGAGAGCTAGTAAGGTGCCAAAATTAAATCTGATATTTTTTTATGACAAGCTTTATTGGGTTAAAAATACTAACTTTGGGACAAGCCGTTGGTAGAAAACTTGTAAGATTACAATTGAAACTTACAATAGAAATCACAAAAGATATGAAATTGTTATCATATGTCGCACATAATCTGACATGATTTGTATTACCTAGCCTACCTAGGTTTTTTTACATGCTCTTTTTTATCTCGTCAGTTGAAAATGGATTATTTCTATTTTGAGCCTGATTTGAATCAGAAAATGTGTTTGTTTCATTTTTGAAATATTTTTGATTCCATAATATTGACCTCAACAAAAATTCCGCAAATTGACTAGTTTAGCTTCATAGTATGAAAATCTACGATTCTTAAATCTAACAATACTCATTTCAGTGCATTTTTTATTTTGGTAGGTGTGGTAGGTTTGGTACATGTGGTAGATGCGGTAAGACGGTTTGCTTTTTGATTGCAAACGAAAGTCAATTCACAAAATATCGATTTTTGGCCACATTTGGAGGTTGTTACGAGTCTTGAATATATGTGAGTACAGTCTTCCTAATTACTAGAAATGTACAAAATCGCATAATTCCTTCAAAAATACTTCAAACTAGGAATTTTACTCACTACATGTATTGCTATATATATATATCTTTTCTTTATATCACAGAGTATCTTAAATTGACGAGTCACCATTTTAACATTCAAACAAGGATAAATATTGACACACATGGATTTGAAGGCTCATATTACGACAATGAGCTATAAACATTTTTACTGATTGGCTGGTCCCTCTAACATGGATGACCTTCACCTTTTACATTTTTTAAAATTGTCCCTTCATCATTTGATCTTTGATTTTGTACTTTTTACATTTTCTAAAACAGTAACTTTCAAAACTTTTAAGGCTGATACCTCGTGACCTTGACCTTTGGTGACACTGCGACCTTCACACAAGTTTTTACGCCTGACGAGATCTATCCAATGGTATCAAACGCACTGCTTTGTTTTCGTTATTTCAAAAAAATATGATTATGTGTTGCCTAATCTGAAGAATCTGTAATAGTTGCAGCAACATTTTCACAGCCCCGTCAACACGGGGGCTCGGCCCCAGCAAGCGAACATTGAGCCCCAATAATTGACCTATAACAAAACCATATTCAGTTCAGCAATGCTTGATTATTTGCCGTGACTTCGTCAGTTTTTTGTTCCCTGTCAATTGTAACTCTCTTATTTTCCCTTGCCTCAGACACCTGTATTCTGATTCGAAATAAGTGCATCCCTGTAATGGCCAAATTAACTGTCGTTTGTAATGTTTTGATTCATTGTTTGGAGTTGTCTTCCTTGTTTGGAACGAGACTAATAGTCTTAACAGAGAGTATAGATAGACTATCTCTGGTCCTAACGTCTTTTTCCGAGCCTGAACACATCTTGATAATCAAGTCTTAAATCGGATAACCGAGTACGTTTACTGAGAAACATCTTCTTGACCAAAATGAGAAGTTTTAACGGTCTATAAAACGGTTAGAATTCTTTATCATACAGTTCTTTTATTTGCATAAGTTTTTGGTTATATTATTGAAACACCTTGGGTCCGGCCATTAGATCAAATAAATCAGCTTCAGGCATATTGATGATATTGACAACAACGACAAAAATTCCAACAATTGTGTGTTTCCTCTTGTGCAGCTGCAAAAGAAGTTCAATGTTTATGTTTCGGTAACAAGACCACAGTCATGTTCCGTGCATGCGGCAACAACCTCAAGGGTACAACCTATGGGAACAGCCACTTAGTAAACAAAGGTTAATCAAAACTACGTCAAACTACTAAAAATACAATTAGTACTCTCTGTATTTAATTAATCCTTATATAACAAATTTAGTTTGTATAAGTGGATAATAACACATTTAGAAATAATTGCACAATATTGTAACCATCACTTATAAAAATGAAAATTTTGTATTAAAATTTCAGAATGACTTTTACAATTTGGATGTTAAGCCCAACGCAGACTAGGAACATTTCTGTCGACGAACAAAAACATTGAATATATTTGTTTTCCGTTATCCGCAGATGACAAACATAATTCCGCAGACGACAAACATTTAGCTCGAACAATACGCCAGTGCCACGGAAAATCACATGACCTCAAAATGGCGACGTCCAAACGAAAATGTAAAATTGCCTTAGCTATTTTATTAATTTTAAAAAGACGCCAACGTAGACGGCGAAATAGGAGCATTTGGGTCCGTACCTGGATTCGACGTCGTAAAGAGCAGAGTGTGTTCGGCAACCTTGTACAGGAGCTGTCGGCTGATGACCCAGCAATGTATCAGCAATATTTCCGGGTTGACAAAGATGGGTTCAACACAATATTGAGGCAGATTGCGACCACATATCTTCCAAAATCTGCTCCTTCTCCACAGTCCAAAATTTTGTGTTGGTGGATTCATTGGACTTCGCCATTTTGAGTGTCATGTGGTCTGGCTTCGATCGCTGATTGGTCTTTCGTCGATGAATGTTCGGTGCTAATGTTCGTCGTTAACGCAGGCATGTTTGATTTCACGAACAATTCTCACGAACATTTTTGTTCATGTTTCTGTAATCCGCAGACGGTGAAAGAAATGATCGAAAGAAAATTTTTACGATTGTTTGCTTAAAATGTTCCTCGTCTGCGCTGGGCTTTTGAGTGCTTAAAGGGATTTAGTATCATATACTTACAATTTTCTCAACACAATTCACATTAGGTAAACCAACTGTTAATGTTTTTTCATCTTCCTCAGTAAGCTCTGTGGGTAGATAATTCTCAATACATATATCACTATTTCCAGGTTCATTAACTGGTTCAGAAACAAGTTCATTTGATGGGTTCACATCCTGTGGATCTTTTTCAGAATTAATTTCAGTACCATTTTCTTCTTCCTCTTTATTTATCTCTAATACATCACTTTCCTCCATTGTAAGTTAGTGCCTAAATGACTTTTGTCAGTTCCTGAAAAATATAAATAATTTGTGGAGAATGGGATGATGTTCTTTATATCTCCCAATGGATATTTGCTAATAATAATCACTGTTGGCCTTTGTAAACCACACTCATGATTTTTCAACAAGATGGTCGAAGTCAACAACGACTTGCTTACAGATCTAAAATGACCATACAAAAAACACATAAAACTCTAATGCAAAATTAACTTGAGCTATTCGAGACAAGAATGGGGTCTTGCTCATAAGCATTTTGAGAAGCTAATAAATTTGAACCTCTATGTCAATTTGGTTTCAAGTTTCAAAGATAAGGGCAATAACTCATAGTAAATATTCGATTCGTCTGATTTTCAATAGGGTTCATCCTTGGGTGATTACAAACACTCACACCAAGTTTCGTCAAAATCCATCAAGAAACCAGCTCTCTATCGTGTCCACAAACAATTCAAGAACAAGGGCACCTATACAGTTAATATAATTACAAACACTCACACCAAGTTTCGTAAAAAATTCATCCAGAAACCAGCTCTCTATCGTGTCCACAACCAATTCAAGAACAAGGGCAATAATTCATAGAGTGAGAACGAGTTACACAATACAGTTAATAGAATGAAAACGCTAAGTCATACAAGATGTTTCTGTGAAAAAATCGATAGGATCATCCTCATAATGACATTGACCTACAAAATAAAAATCAAAAGAATCGGTAAAGAATAGTAGCCAGTAGAGTGAACAGACCGACGAACAGCCAGGGTTTTTACAATATACGCCTAAAATATATTTGAAAAGACATCACTGGTAAATATTCAGGTTATGTTGGATACACAGATCTGTGACCTTTGACCCTGCAATGGGCTAATTACAAAATGAATGTAAAATGAGGCTTTTCTGAGTAACATGAAGTGACATTGGCAACATACAGAAAGTGGACTGTAGAGAGCATATTAATGACCAATTTTGCTCAGTTTCCTTCATTTTACTTCTTGTAACAAAGTTGACAAATTCAATTCTTCACATTAAGCTATTGTGGTTGTTAGGCAGACAGATTTCAAACTTTATGATGGAATAAATGTACACTTTCAAAATCTTGGCATCACTTCTGGTTTTGAAGTTATTACTTCTGGTGGCATCACTTCCAGTGGAATTATACCGATTTTTAATGAGTATTGAAGTCACATTAGAAAAATATTGCAATTTTCTGGAAACTTTGAATGCTTCTATCACAACTTTCACAAGAACTTGACCTCGGATGACATTGATATTTACAGTAATACCGGTAATTACTATTGAACGAAGTATAACATGATGTTATTTATATTATAAATCCAACACATGGTTCCTGTTTTAAGGGTATCACAGAAATTGGATTTAAAACACTTAATAATTCTTTCTGATTTAGCATTAAAATATCATTTAAAATTCTATTTGTGTAACATTGGAGTATATATATATATATATATCTAAATAATGATGGTAGTAAGGACACATCAGTATAGATACCTTCTATCCTCTTTCTATCAAAAATGCACTATGTCCAGTTTGCGCATACAAGGACGTTCTGGAATAGATTAAAAGGTGCCATGCATTACTGAAGCATCCTGGAACCACCCCAACAGCCTAATTGACCCATATGACCGAATTTTTTCAAACTTGAAATATATCTCAATATTTGATTTGTGATTTGAAGAAAAATATTGAATTTGCACAGTGCGCATTACTAACAATCTTATTTCTTAAAATTTGGTATGTATGTGTATAGTCTAATTCTGAATTTAACAGAAATACTGAATTTGCGTGTTGAGTAATGACTATGCAAATTCAGACCACTTTTCAAAGACAAGACTTTGGGTGGTCCTGAAAAGGACTGTTTGATGTAGTACTTGATTTGAAAAATTACTTTATTTGAAAGACTATTTCATTCTTTTAAGAGAGTTTGAAGTTTGCTAAGACATTGTTCCTATTCTTAAAAAAAAAAAGTGGTCCTAGTGTGTTATGAAATGTGATCCGGTATGGTAAGAAAATTATTTTTGTTCAAACAAAATATGTAAAATAGTGTTCAACTGTTAGGAATTGTTTAAAACTTGGTGGGAGTGTGTTATGATTATGAAAAGAGGACCGAATTTGCTTAAACATTGTTCGGAGTCTAAAAATAGTGGTTCAAGTGTGTAATGAAAACAGGTCCGACTTTTTAAAAAAATAGTGGTCCAAGTTTGTTTTGGTCTAAGTTGTCCTGATTCCAATTTAGTTAGGGTTCTTTGTTACAATAGAGGTAATAATCTCTGTTAAAGGGATACTACGTCTATCATAATGCTACGAATAATAATGCCTCGTAGGAGATTAAGGGACTCCACGAAAAAGCAATTCATATAATTTAGAATGAATAATCCACCGCTGACACAATTTTCAACGAATATCAATCATTGGCAAAGTTTGTTTGTATACACCAGAAGATGATTGTTTCCTTTTTTAGCATTGATTACCCGGATTCTTTTTTTCATCGCTTGCTCACTTTGGGTTAAAATTCTGATTATAGTTTTATTATCGCTTTTTCAAACTTGATAAAGTGTGGGATGCATATTTATTTAACCAATGGTCACTATTAAACACATATAAAAGCCACAGGACGAGTGTATTCTAAGACGTAGTATCGCTTTAAAGAATCAAGATAAATGATTGACTATGATCCTTCAGTAAAATGGCGTCTGTACGATATTTCATATTTTCCTGCTACGTGTTGATATATTATTCTTTACGTGATGTGCAAATTTGGCATATTTCAACACACGATTATTTCACAATTTGGCAATAAATCTTGTCTACAAAGAGCAGAAAAACTACTGACAGCAACATCGTTATGTTAGGCGTTAAACTCAATTTAGAACCTTCAGATTCTTGAACTGCTATGGTGGTAGGCCTACTCAATACAACAGGTAGGTGCATCAGCTGATTCTGGTCGAAAACTCAATTTCAATAAAATCAAAAGAATGCCTTGATTTTTTTTTTACATTGTTTTTGATAGATTCAGAATCAGGTGACTGTGTAGTAGTCTGATAACACCCAAAACATCATTTAAAGAAAGGATCTGATATCTTTGAGTCTTACCAAGGAAACCTAAGTTCATAGGTTCTATAATATAATCTTCATAACTGCTTGAGCAATTTTTACCCTATCAAGTCGAGTTCTTGAATCAGACATTTACTTTCGTTTTAGACCTCAATAATCATGAGTTGTCTCCTCTTGCTAGACTAGCGTAGTCTTCAACCCAACTGTTTTTTGATCTTTTGAGGGTTAATGTTTGATATTTTTCTAAATATGTGTTAGAGCCATTTATTGTTTTGAATTCCTTTAGAACCGAAAAAGAATGATAATCGAAAACGTTCCAAAATTTAGATATAAAACAGCTTTATATTGCAATTAATTTTAGTTAGAGAGTATACAATAATAATGGTGATCAGAAAAGTAAATTCGTGTCAAAGTTTTTGCTATGAAACATAGTTGGTCTGTATATTACAAATATTTTGACACTTGGGTCGTCCTTGACTCTATGAATGAAATATATAACTCTTGTTACACCTGACGCTTTATTAACACTTCTCTCCTTTTTTTTATTTCAATCAATTTAAGCTTAGGTTTTAGAATCTAGCTTCACCTATAAAAATTAAGGTCTACTAGTTCCTATCGAATTTTACTGATTACTTTTATCAGAATCAGAATATTAGCAATTTATTAAGACTTTTATTGGGTACATTTGTCTATTACAAATTGTGAAGCAAACTGGTATTTTCAACAATCATGAGAACATCTATTCTCTACTTCTTATTCAAAAAGCATCAGTCCACCATTTCACAAATCAAGTAAGGACATATACTGTGTCATTAGGCCTAGAGGATGTTAATTAAAGCGAAGTCAAAACCGGATCAAGTCCTGTGTAATTGAATCACATCTCAAAGCATACACTTAGATTTAAAAGTCCTTCTAATAATCCTTCTATAATCTATTTCTCTTTGCAGTTTTATCAGATTATAAAAAAAAATTCAAGCTATTAATTGTATAGTTGATTCAAGACTTATCTAAGATAACAGCCTAATATCGATTATGAACAACTTAAATGATACAGATTTAGAAAATAATAATACCTCAACAATAAATAACAATTCAAATAACAATAATAACCCAGCTAGTGTCAATAATAATATAGTGACTGGCGCTACCAATGATGGTGATGGAGATGAAAATGATGAAGAAGATGACGGAGTTGAAGGGGATGATGATCAACATCAGTCTTTAGGTGGAGCCAGTATTGATGTCCTCTCAAGTGAAAGCCCTGGCTCAAATAATGTTGAAGAAATTGAAAGAGACAACACCACTTCTGTTAATGAATCAGACAGAACTGAAAATCCTGTAGAATTCTCCAATTCCGAAAGTAATTCTGGACCATCTACAAGTGGTAATTCTGAAATGGCTAGTAGTGGATCATCCAGGAATGACAAATCAAATGGCTCTGAAAGTAGTCAAAACAGTCCTTCCAATAGTTCTGATATGACAGCTGAAAATGGCCGGTCTACCATGCCTAATGAAAATTTTGAAAATAATGGACAAGTTGGGACAAATGCAGAAAATATTGGATCTAATGGAAACAGTCCTTCTGTGAATATACCTGTAAATGATGAAACTACTAGTGCTACACCAACTGGTAATCTAGGATTTGGACCACGTACTGTTCCACCTTTGGGAAATAATCGTCGCAATCGGAATAATCCGATTTTACATGTTAGAGACAGACTGTTTCATACATTATTTTGTAGAATTGCTATCACTTACGCAAGAGCTTTTCCCAAACCACTAAGAAGATTCCTGGAATTTGCAATTTTGGTAAAGGTGAGCTTTTCACAACTTTTTTTAAAATTATTTTACCATTTCTCTTACAATTGATTGATATTGTTGTAGTATGAAAATGGAAATTTATGTCCACATGAAGTCTGGAGTTTGTAAACCAAAACTGCTTTATCTAGTTTTTAACTGTAGCTGTTATCTTGACAAACAAATTTGTCTTTGGCTCATCTATATTCACAAAATGTCTCTGGTTCTACTTTTCAGTCATGAATCAGCCAATCAATTGTGTAGAAACCATATTAATTTGTGTTTTAGGCATTGGTAGTGTTAGGAACGCTGGTCTATATTCATATAGTGTTTGCTCGAACACCTATAAACTGCTTACAAAGTGTACAGAAAACCTGGCCGAGGCATGGTATATTGAGAGTAGAAATTGTAAATAATGCATCTGATAATTATAGTATTATTAATTCGTATGAGAAGGAATATTCAGATTATCAGTTTATATCTGACAGTGATCTAGGACCTGAGTTAACTCTAGCATCTTCTCAATCGTGGAATGAAACAGATTTTGATAGTGTCACAAGTTCTGATAGTGGTAATGATACTGAAACTGAAATTAGACTTGAAGACATAATAGGTAAGCTCTTACAAATGTTTATCAATTAGTCATCGTAACTGTGAAATAATGATATATATTAAGAGTATTTTAGAAATTTTTATTCCTATAGCCTCTTGAGAAACAAATAATTAAATGATATCTTGTTGAAGACATTCTAAAAAACTAGCAGAGAGCCCTTGAAAGTGAACATTCTTTACTCTGATTGGATAATATCAGAGGTCTCTCTATGTCTGGTAATGAATCAATTTTTTTTGTACCCTGGCTATGGATTTGCTGGTTGAGATGATGTAAGGTCAAACAACGTCAATCTAACAAGATGTGAGGGGAAAGACTTGATAATGCAATCTATACAGAAACATGGTGTCGTGAATATATTGGGGGGAAATCACAATACTTTCTTTACTTAGTTTGTAACTCTACATAATATAATATAAAATTACACCTTGTTTTAATGCAGCAAGCTCAAGATTAGGGAGGAATTTTCACATGCATCAAAAATTGAAAAGATTAGATCCAAAAAAAAAAAATGTTGCGTTGGCTATAAAATAACCTGTTTTAGAACTAGGATCTTTGATATTTTTTTCACATGTACTGAAAATGCATAAAAGCATACTTTTATGAAACTACCAGAAACGACCAACGAAAACATGAAACGACCAGAAGCAAGCAGGAAAACAACTTATGGTGTATAGTTTTCACAAATTTAAGCAGAAATTTCTTGCGACCAACAAAAAACTGAATGCATCTTTAAGATTTGAACACTTTGTAGATGTTGAAACAACAGAAGATTTTGTAAGTGTTGATACACCAGTCGTTGATGATAATATCACTACTGATGATTTAGCGGAAGAAAAAACTATTTTTGAAGATGTACAAACAGAGCCTTTGAAAGATACTCTAACAGAACTAGAAATGCTTGCTAAAGCAGGTAAGAGACTAAATTATTGAATTATTGTCTGTGTGTACAGAGTGTAAGCTGGTGTGAAAAGATTGTAACTTTCTATGTGGTCACATGTAAGGCATATATATAGCATAAAGTATTTAAACTTACTTCAAACTTACTAATTCTAAAATATACAATATAATATAATTGCCCTTCGTCTTTGATCAAAACATTACACTCCATTTGGTTTGATTCCCGAATTATACTAAACTTGTTGAAACCTTTTTTAAATTTGGTAAATTTTGTAGCTCTGGCATTTGTTCTTCAAGCACATTCAAATATTTTCTATATTATATATCTTTGTGAAATACATGACTAAATACTAAAATGATTGCACTTTCCCCTAAAAAATTCTGCTCCAAATCAATTAAAAATTCAGTTCTTGCCTGCTAGTGGGGCTTAGTCCAAGCTTCTCTATGTCTGAGAAGTGCCAAAGTGAATGTGGTAAATTTGATTAAACACTTTGCAGGATTTTGATGCAAAAAATGATTTTGCCATAATTCTGTGCGAGTTAAAATATTAGTCCCAGATTTTTAGAAGACAAGAATTAATTCTTTATAACTGTAACATTGTCCATTAAGTTACTTAATCAGAACAACCTAAGTAAAATTCAAAAAAATTAGGGCTGGGAATGCCCATGGTTTAAGCATGAGAAAACTCATTATGAAATATAGGATTTTTGATTCAGTCAATATTGAGAAATGAAAACATTAATAATTTTTTTGCCTCAAAAAATGTTACTGAATTGGTGTGATTAATTTTAATCTCTGCCACTACTCTCATCAAATTTGGTGTGATCATGAATAGTTTATTGCCCACGACTATGAGTGGACTTAACAAAATATTTTTTTGTGAATATAATAAAAACAAATTTAAGGTTACAGTGTGTTGAATTGATAAGATCTCTGATGAGTTCTCATTTGACAATTTTGGGGATTTTGGAGTTATTATAGCCCTTGACTTTTAAAGTAAAACACATCAAAGTTTGTATATGAACACAACAGAGTTTTCTATCAAATTTGATGATACTGGGTATAATCATTGAAATTGATAAGATCTTGCACAAGTTTGAATTTGACAAAGTTTGTGAAGAATGGGTTTTGTTTATTGCCCTATACACATTAAAAATCTATTCAATCACCTATAGGAAGCAGCTAGTTTAAAAGAACCTGAAGATTGTCGAAACGTAGTGTGTAATAAAACTAAGGAGTAGTATACCATACAATTGTATTCCGTTATTTAATGTGATCTCTACCCCTAAATGTCGCTAAAGGATTAGTTTAAAAGAAAGGTTGAATATCGATGGTTGTCAAAATAATGCTAAATAGATAAAATTGTAAATATAATTAGAAACATATATTCCTTCATTTCCTATTCTTTTTACATTTAGTATGGCCAGAAGAGAAATATATTGTAGAATATGCCCTTGAATATGGTTTTTTACGTTTATCACCCAAAACTAGAAGGCGTCTAAATATATCAGTTATGCTGGTTACATTGGGTAAGTTTTTATGGTTTTTGTTCCAAAAAATTACTCATTAAATGTTTCTATTTCAACTTCATTTATATCAAATTTTACATTGATATATAAATACATGCTACGTGGTATTTTCAGATCCATCAAAAGATGAATGTTTTGGTGATGGTTTTAGTCGATTTTTGTTAGAAGAATTTCTGGGTTATGATGATATTTTAATGTCTAGTATTAAGCAATTAGCAGAACAAGAAGAAAATAAAGGTTTGTTGATAATGTGGACAACGTATTATAAAATGTGGATCAGAACATGTTTTCAAAACATCGAATGTCAATTTGGTGTGCGAAAAGTCATAAGACAGCATATTGTTGTTAGGTACTGATTTTTAAATGTATACTATTTTGAGCCACCTGTTTGATCATTTAAAAAGACTAACAGTAGATTGTATCTGGTAAGAATAGGCTTTGCACATTAACGATGTGTAGACTTTTAATTAAATATGATTGAAAAATTAGATTATTTGACCAACAAGAACATATATTCATCAGTGGACTTAGAATCAAAACTACTCAACAGATTCCCTCTGTAAAAAAAACCTGAGTATTTATTGAAAACGCGTTTTCAATGATTCAATTATTTTATGTATTTATTAGATTATAGAGGGATTCTGTTAAGTTATAATACCAGGTAAGGCCACTGATTGGCCAAGTTCGAGAATTTTAATTTTATGATTACTAGGTGGTATTACTTAAAGATTTTGTGAAATTTTTTTATCATCATTAACCCAAAGACACGGCATCTGAAAGATATGACCTGAAAAGCCAGTTTCAAATCATTTTGTTTTGCCTAATGGGTATTTTCAGTGTAGTCTTCTTACTGGGTGAAAGAATTCTAGCCATCCTCTTCATAATGAAAGGTTAAAGGGATATATGTGCTATTTTGGGGGGTTGATTTTAGTCTTAAATATATGTAAATAGTCTTCAGAAGTACTAAAAATGTACGAAAATCACATAATTCCTTTAAAATACTTCAAACTAGGAATTTTACTCACTACAGTATAATCTGCGTAATTTGACATACACTGATACCGACAAACAATGTCAGATTAGCAAGAATTTCAGAGTATTCAGAATTTTGACATTTTTTAACATGTGCCACGTGTTACTATTTATAGCTCAGTGACTCAAGATTCTACAGACGGTATCTTTCTAATAATAAGACAATAATAAAAGACAATTCAGTTGTATACGTTATATAACAAGAAAGAAGTGGGGATGTCCAAGTTTAGATTTGTCATTGATCCCATTGGAAAGTTTGCAATCTGATATCAAATGGAGGGCCTATTGAATGTAGACTGTGTTAGATCCGTGTTGGTGCCGAGTCTGTTGATTATTAGGTAGTCAAGATTTCGACTGGAGTGTCTCGGTAAATGGAAGTGATAGGCGACTAGTGTGTCCCTCTTTGGATAGATAGTTCACTTCTTTAGCCTTAGCTTTGGCTGACTTGGTTGGTGGAAAAGTAGACTCCTTGTCTTTTAGCCGATGGATTTTCTTCTACCACGGCGGTTATAATACCGAGTGTTGAAAGGGATCACGACTGCCCGCGGGGGTCACGAAGTTAGCCATAACTGGTTGTATACGTTACTATTATTTAATTGTTCATATTTTGAGCTACTGTACATACCCTTTTTATTGGATTTAATGTACGAATTAAAATGTCACTTATTGTTGTCAGACGTAAACCAAATTTCATAGCCAAATATTTCTGTGAAGGTCACAGCACTTTTTCATAATCTCCAATAATTTGCTGTTTCTTATCCAGAGACACATCAGTACAGGCAAGCTTCACAGGATGAGAATTGCTAGCTTGAGAATTTTGATAAAGCGCGAAACAAAGAATACGGTGTAATGAATGATAAAAGTACCCATGCCATTTGATCTAAAGGTAATGACCTTGATCTTGAAGTGAAGTCATTAGCGGTGATTAATCAGCAGAATTTAGTTCAGCAATCCTTTGTTTTCATATGATTTGATCCGGATTATCAATAAAATAAGCGATTATCTAATTGACGATAAGTGATTAAGATGAGTAGATGTCAGATTATACAGAGTGTCGGGACCACTGATTAGGGTCGTAATTTGTAATACACAGAGTGTCGGAGTACTCTAGAGTTTTTTTTAACTACCCTATCGGGACCAGAAAAAAATGTCAGATTACGCAGAATGTCGGAATACTCAGATGTCAGATATCACAGAGTACACTGTATTTCTATATATTACAAAGTATCTTAAATGAGTCATCATTTGTACATTCAAACACAGATAATTCTGGACACACATGGATTTGAAGGCTCAAATTTCTACGATGAGCTGTGAACACTATTACTGATTAGCTTAGCTAAAAAAATTCAGTTCCTGAAACTAAAGTATGATTGGTCAAAAAAATGTCCTACCTGTCTCTTGTAAATGGCTATATTATCATAATCATTTTTGGCATTGTTTTTTAATCGTAGTTGAGGATTGTCAAACTTTGCTGCTTAATCTTATTTTGATCACTGTTATTTTAAACAGGTTTTCTACGAAATGTTGTAACTGGTGAACACTATAGGTTTGTTAGCATGTGGATGGCGAGAAGTTCCTATGTAGCTGCTGCATTTATTATGCTAGTTTTTGTAAGTAAAATATTTGACCACAATTTTTATGTTACTGCTCTTGTTTTCTATGAATAAAATTCGTGAAAGAAAATATTAGTGTCTGCCAGGTCTGTTCATAGTAATGGCTGAAATAGAATGTCAACTGCTGCTTTTTTATACGCCCACATGCAAGATGGGCATATATTGTAATCCGGTCCGTCGGTCCGTTCACATTTGGCTCGTGCTCACTCTATAGGCTACAATTTTTTACAGATTCTTTTGATTTTTATTTTGTGTGTCAATGTCATTATGAAGATGATCCCTGTTGATTTTCGTGATGATCGGATAATTTTTCACCGAAATATCGTGTCTGACTAGACGTTTTACTCTATTAGCTATATTGTGCAACTCGTGCTCACTCTACAGGCTACAATTCTTAACAGATTCTTTTGATTTTTATTTTGTGTGTCAATGTCATTATGAAGATGATCCCTATTGATTTTCGTGATGATCGGATAATTTTTCACCGAAATATCGTGTCTTACTTGACGTTTTTCTCTATTTGAGTTATTGCCCTTGACTTTGTTAAAATGCGTGGAAATAGTTTGTGAGCAGGATTGAAGCTACAGTTTCAACCGATTCTGATGAAACTTGTTGTGATCATTGGAATTGATAAGATCTCGGACAAGTTCTAACTTGATGCATTTTTGATGTACGGTTTTTGAGTTATTGCCCTTGACTTTGTAAAAATGCGTCAAAATTTATTCGTGAGCACAATAGATGCTACATTTTTCAACCGATTCTGATGGAACTTGGTGTGATCATTGATCACAGTTTTCAACCGATTCTGATGAAACTTTGTGTGATCATTGGAATTGATAAGATCTCAGACAAGTTCTAACAAGAGATATTTTTGATGAACATTTTTTGAGTTATTGCCCTTGACTTTGTAAACATGCGTCAGCAGTTGTTTTTTGCCCTTGATTAGAGCTGTGTGATTTAATTGTTTGTTGTATTTGGGTTATTGATATTGATTTTAAAAAATTTTGTGGAATTATTCAGCATAAATAATTTCTGTTTTATTACTTCTGACAGCTGCCAGTGGGCATATGTTAACTTGCAACGCAAGCTATCTTTAATTTCTTATTTAGGTTTAAAATGACTCAAATCAACACTAAAAACTACTGTATTTGTTAACTAATAAAGATGGGTGAATAGACTGAAACTTTCCCAAATTTGTGTCTGAAAGTCCATCAAAGAGACAATTCATCCTATACAATAATAATAATATTGTGGTTTTGGATTTATTTTTTTTTTTGTTCGTCATCAAATTGTTTAGGCTTATATGCATTGGGAAGTTTAAATGAATAAGAGTTGTCTTTTGACATTAATGATGCCAAAAGCTTTGCTGCTGTGTGGTCTTAAAGCTTCTTTTGCGACTGCTTGTTATGTTACTGCACAAGTGCTTGTTGAATTGAGCATATTTTAACATCAATAGCACATAGTTGTCAAAAACTGTCTATGTTTTAAATTATTGACATGATTATTTTTTACTTGTTTATATTTTAGACAATATCAGTATCAACACTACTAAGATATTCTCATCATCAAATCTTTCTGTTTATTGGTAAGTTTATGTAGTTTAATTAAAACTGGAGATTACTAATAGTTAATTAAGCAGTTTGACCTAGTTTTGGTGTTTGGCTTTATAATGGCTCAATATTATTAGTTGAAACCTTCTGAACAAATAGGTTTTTCTTTTTAATTTATTTTTCTAAAATGATGAAAAAAATGGACATGATCAGAGATAGTAACATTTCACATTTGTATATCACATCTGAATAGTAATTTTGAAGAACATAGTTTCAGTAGTGTCACACCTAGGTATTTGTATGATACAGTGATTTAAAGCAAATAATGATATGAAATGTTCTATTTCAGTTGATTTATTACAAATGTTAGAAATGAATGCCAGTGTTGCTTTTCCTGCTGCACCATTGTTAACAGTTATATTGGCTTTAGTTGGTAAGTTAAAATGGTTGTTCAATTTATAAGTACCTCATAAACATTCTACAAAGGCACAATTCCTGGTTGATTTTGATGAAACTGGTTTGAGTGTTTGTAATCACCCAAGGATGAACCCTTGAAAAAATGTTTAGTATAAATCATTGCCCTTGTTTTTGAAAACCCAATTAACCTTAAGCTGCTGAACACTCTAGAAAGCACAAGTCCTAGTGGATTTTGATGAAACTTGAAACAATGAAACTGGGTGAAATTGTTCTTAATGAATCAGAAAGGAACCACATGAAAATATATAAATCAGAAAATATAAGTCCTGTTTTTTTGAAAAACAATTTTACAATGGTTGAGATATTATGTTTTGGCACAAATGCAAATGTTTGCTCTCAGTCTTATATCTCTAAACAATATTAACATGTAAATGTAATAGAGGCTATAATCTTAATCAGATTGGATGAAACTTATTATAAATATGTGTTTTCCACATATACAAGAAATATTAAAACAAATATAGGAATATGGCTTGGTAAAATAATTGATCAAATGTCAACGTTTAATTTTCTTTCACGTACCCATTAATAAGCAGTTTCCCTTCAGCACATCACTTACCTTAACTAAAGTATAATAACAGATCATAGCAATGATTGATCATGTTATTATAATTCTATGATATACAAATAACCCATGGAATCAAAATTTTGGACATGATTTTTATTTAGTATTTAGAAGATTTCTCACTCAAAATATTTCGATTATTAATTGATTATTGATCGAAATAATATCATCGATAATCAATCTGAATTTTGTAATCCATATCTAGCCCTAAATATTGTAAGCACCCATATTCCTTGCTACTCATGCCATTGAGAATTATCACATGCTACTTGTTTCATTAAAGGTCAGTTGCACTAGTTTAGAAAATGGAATGTGCAAAGATGTGTTTAACAAACCATATAGCCAATTTTATTGACAAGTAATTGTCCTTTTGATAGATTTTTTTATTGTTCTAGGAATGGAGGCTATAATGTCTGAATTTTTTAATGATACCAGTACAGCATTCTATATCATTCTTATTGTTTGGGTAGCTGATCAGTATGATGCTATATGTTGCCATACATATATTAGTAAACGACATTGGCTTAGGTAAAAAATTGTTATTTATTATTTGCCCACATTTCAATGTTGGCATGTTTTATTGTTGCCCCTGTCCAGCCTTCATTCCTAAATGAGTGTCAGACATCGGTTAGTGACTGGCAAAGTACTGTCTAATGGTTTACCAGTGCAGTCTGTCATTTATACCCTCAGTCATATTTCTCCAATTATGGGAATTTCCATTTTGATTTTTAGGTAAAATTCATTGTTATGTGTTCATTATCCTTTTAACCAAGTGATCTATAAAAAACAGTTGAAACATTTTAGTTGCTGCAAACAAGAACTGTTGTCACAAGTTTGCATTGAATGATAAAATTTTGAAAATTGATTAATGATGTTCAATCACAATGCAGAACAAACATTGCACTTTACTCAAAACCTTACTTCATGACCATTGAAGTTTAGATAAAAATGTCTGTTGGCCTAACTGACGCTGTCCTTCTGTGGAACTTTCTGGTACAAATCACTGCTGTGATACTTTCATTTTCTTAATATTTGATTGGCACACTTTGACTTTTGACTGGTGAGATATACCCTTTGCCGTTTTGCCATTTTGACTGGCACACCACAAATCCTGATTCATAGGCTTGATATATGTACGGTGTATATGACTAATTATACAGACTGGTTTGGTTTTTTTCAAGAAAAACTTTTAAGTTATTGCACTTGACTTGGTCTAAAATATCTGTTGAACGCAAAACAATTTTGATATATCTGAGATGAAATGTAGTATACTTATGAAACGCAGCCATTTTTTTTACGTAATATTAATGGTTTTTTTAGTTAATGTCTTTAACTTGGCCAAATATGTCCAAATTGGTTATGAACAAGTTAGAACTTGGCAATTCAATTCTTATTGTTACTAGATTTTTAAAATTATCTTTTTTTATTATTTATTATTTGAAAGAACTTTCTTAGAAATCCAAAAAATCAATAACACTAAAACTAAAAAAAAAAACCTTTTGCATATGGATCTCATGTTTTACTGTTACCAATTTCTATATGGAAATTTTGAGGACAGCATTTTTATGAGCTCAAATTTACATTTTGTTTATTTTCAGATTTTTCTACTTGTACCATTTTGCATTTTATGCTTATCATTATCGGTTTAATGGACAGTATAGTGGTTTGGCTTTATTCACATCATGGTTATTTATTCAGGTATGCTTTTCATTATTGAAATCAAGTATCTTCCCCCAAGCCCCATTGTCAGGAATGAATTAGTGCTTGGGCTCAGATTTTGTACTCAGATAATTGGAAGAATTAAAGGCCCAGAGAACTTCTGACTATATTGAGGTGCCAAAAACATATCTTAATCTATGTATCTTTTTGATTTTGTACAATGACACTGAAAATGAATCAATCTCTGCTGAACTGAAAAGGGTTTTTCTGGGGCTTAATTCTCACTTACTGGGGCCCAACCTCCACGGCCCCTACCCTACCGATGGACAGGCTTCCCCTCTGAGAGTAGCATCAAGGTGTTTGATACCAGCAGGATATTTAATTTGAAATTAATGTGAAAGAGTCATTGTCATTGAATTTAATTTTTTGAGAACAGTGATTATGTCACTGGCGATAATGCTTGATATTTGGAAATAATTTCTCTATATAATTTGATTGATTCAAAACAAAAGATTTCTTAAAAATCCAAAACCCTGTCTGTTTCTTATGGCTTGTTGACAATCTTCATGTACATTTTTAAATGGTTGAAATAATTTCTATTCTTTACTTTCAGCATTCTATGATATATTTTTTCCACCATTATGAATTGCCTGCTATTCTTCAACAAGCTCGTATACAAGAAATAATACAACAAGGTGGAAATAATGAACAACCTGGGGGAAACGGCAATAATAATGCCAGTAATATGAATACTAATTCAGGAAATAGAAATACTAATACTGAAAATATAAACACTAATCCAGAAAACACAGATACTAGTCAAGGAAATACAACTGCTAATCCAGAAAATTCAACTGTTAATCAAGAAAACACAACAACTAATCAAGCAACTGTAAATGCTAATCAAGGCAATATAAATCCTAACCCAAATGATGTAGGAATAGGAAACGCTGGTCTACGCATTAATGCTAGAATGTTAGAAAGAAGTGTGAATGATTTGTTAACCTCTTTAAATGCACATATCAATCCTAACAATGCCAATAGGCCTAACGAACCCATAGAAGTTAATCGTGTGCGTGTTTATACTCCTGGAAACTTCATGCGGATGTGTTTTCGTTTAGCAAGGAATCCTATGAACAATGCACCAGAAGAAAATATACGGTTGACCAATACAGAGACTCCTAATATGGAAGATGTATCGAATACAGCAGAAGTGAACACATCTGAATCAATAAGTGATAATAATTCTTCTAATGTGATCAATGACTCTGAGTTGAACTCATCCTCACATGTATGTGCTGGTACTGAAAATACTTTAGAAACATCTGATACTGTGAACAATTCAAGTGTCAATAACCTTAATTTACCAAATTCCTCTTCAGAAACCTTATTAAGTGATTTATCAAATTCTAACCAAAGTGTTCTTAATTTTGAAGATAAATTTGAAGATACTTGTAAGGTAAATGCAGAGTTGGATACTGCCTCAGCAGTGGCAAAAAATAGTTTTTCGGAATCCACGTCCAGTTCAAGAAATCAGTCAGCCGTAACTTTGGAAAATTTAAAGACTGCTTTAAGTTCATGTGAGATAGTAAGTGAATCTAGTTCTATAGATAGCAAAAGTCTCTCACAAACTGATTCAATTTGATTATTATATTCTATATTAACTGTGGACGTTGTTATCTGTCTATATACACTGACTGATAAACAAAACAAAACATTTCTGTAAAGATTTATTGAAACTTTAAAAACAAACCCAATGAAATATTTAAAAAAAATATTTGATATCAGTGAAAAATGATTGTGAATTAAAACTCAACTGAATTCTAATGTGTGGATTTGCTTTCTCACCTGACAAGCTATCTTTCAATATCTATGTGTGATGATCAATTCTTTGTTATGATAAGGCCTATTTTTTGACTGATCTGATACAGATACAGCCCAGGAAAGCAGGCAGTCTATGTCGTGGTCCCTCTTAAATTTGAGGACAGTGCATTTATCAGAAATTTTAGGAAATTCAAATTTTCCCCTCCAAGACAATTTTAGAGAAATTTCAATAGATTGCTAGAAATTTTACCTTCTAGTAATTCAGATATGATCCAGAGGGAGATGAAAAAACTTGGTTTTGGACTTGATATCAACTTTTGAATCAATTTAGTTAAAATTATTATTTGTCACCTCACATAAGGATGGTAGACTCTGGATGTTTTGGGATTTAGACATGATGTTGAAACTTGAATTGATGTAAGAATTTTGAAGATGTGTAATTATTTTGATCAATTATTTGTTTGGTGAGAGTTTTTTTTGACCACCTCTGTTGAATCTGGGATGTTCAGTTTTGATTGCTGAGTCTTGAGTCAATTGTAGTGATATACTGTATTTGTTACCTCTGGGAAGTGGGAAGTTTCCTACTAGGAAGTTGTAATTACCACTTGATTCTTTTCTGGACACATTTGAAAAAATAATACAGACACATGCGCTCCAGAGAGAAATATTTGCATAAAAATTATATCATGTGTCCATTATATGATATAGATTTGTTGTCCAACATTGAAATGTCATATGTCATGATCTGGATATAATTTTAGCAACCTGAGATCTCCAAGCACATTTAACGAAATGAGGAAGCATTGTATTTTCTTTTGTTTCCCCAGAGGTAAGAAATACAGCAATAGTTTCACATATTTATTGAGGTTATTGAATTGCAATTGAATAAGAAGTTTTTTTTATTATATTATAATTTGTTATATGATCATATTGATTTAATTTTTATTGTGATTTGTACCTGCCAAGGTTCAATATAGGCTTTATTTATGAGTCAAAAAAAACTTTTTATTAGACGCCATGTTTCACAGGAATATTACTTTATTCTGGCTATTCTTAAGATAGTTATGTTGATCTTTTTTTCCTCCCATTGTCAATAGCCAGCTTTCTTATATAATGGAATGCGGAAATTTGATTGGATTGTAAGATACAGCCTCAATCAGAGGCCTCAACAGAAAGTATGTGAACAGATGGCATAATGTTTACAGTCTTTCTGTCCAGCGATCTGATTGGCTGTATTCGTTAGCCTACAATGCAATCAAATTGATGCATTTCATCATACAAGAAAAGTGGCTTTTGCAGTCAAGGTATATGACGAATAGTGTGAGCGTATGCCTTTTGTGGCAACCACTCATGTTCAAATATTATACAGTATTGAGAACTGGACTAAACTTTTTATTTAACATAATTATATTTATAATCTAGAGCTGTAAATAAAATATTATTAAAATTCTTTCATATTTATATGTATGTCTTCTCTACATATATCTGTCCATTTAACCATGTTGGCTTCTAGTCAAGCAATCAAGCATGTTAGTGTGCAGATTCCATGCAATCTTTCTCTTTTGAGAATATGTCCTTTGGTAAAATGAGCTCTTGGTTCTTTGAAACTTTGTATGTATAATTGAATGCACTGCTTTGGTTTTGGAATGTTCATTTTGTTTTTCTTCAAATTCTGGTCAGGGCCCAAAAATATGTAATTTTGACCAAAAAATTTGAAAGAAATAGATAAATGGAGGTTGAATATTTCAAACTGGTCATTGTTACTGCCAAATATTTTTATATTGTCGTCGCCCCTGTCCGTCGGTCCGTCCGTCAACATTTCATGTGAGCACTATAGAGACTACAGTTTTTATCTGATTTTGATAAAACTTGGTTTGATGCTTTAGATTCATAAGATCTCGGTCAAGTTTGAATTTGACATATTTTCGATGAACGGTTTTTGAGATATTGCCCTTGACTTAGAACGCCTTGAAATTTGTTAAAAATTGTTCGTGAGCAGGATTGAAGCTACAGTTTTCATCCGATTCTGATGAAACTTGGTGTGATCATTGGGATTGATAAGATCTAGGACAAGTTCTAATTTGACGCATTTTCGATGACCGGTTTTTGAGTTATTGCCCTTGACTTTGTTAAAACGTGTTGAAATTTGTTAGTAATAGTTTGTAAGCAGGATTGACGCTACAGTTTTCAACCGATTCTGATGAAACTTGGTGTGATCATTGGAATTGATAAGATCTCAGATAAGTTCTAACTTGACGTCAAAAGTTGTTTTTGCCCTTGATTAGAGCTGTGTGATTTAATTGTTTGTTGTATTTGGGTTATTGATATTGATTTTAAAAAAAAATTGTGGAATTACTCAACATAAATAACTGGCATATATATATGTAATTGAATTCAAACTAATAAAATTTCTTCAATATGAGAAAATTCATACTTTAATCACTAAAGACTGTTTTATCATTTCTGACAGCTGACAGTGGGCGTATGTTACATTGCCTCGCAAGCTATCTTTCTTTTTTTTTCTCTCTTAATCAATGGCTACAGAATAGCAATATCAGAATTTCTAAATTTTTAGTTTAGTTGCTGAATTTGTGATTCAATTTACAACTTTTTTCAATTTTACATAGTCTCTGTTCTGTCTGTTCGAAAGCTGATTACTTGACTAAATTTGGTTCGAGTGCTTGTAATAACCCAACGTAAAATATAATATTTTATTGCCCATTTTCTTGCAAATGTGTTGTGGACAGGATAGAGAGCTGGTTTCTTGGCGGATTTTGTTGAAACTTGGTGTTAGGGTGTATTGAGATGAGTCTCAATGAAAGCACTGGCCTAGGTCACAGAGCAGTAGATAACTTGGTGTTAGGGTGTATTGAGACGAGTCTCAATGAAAGCACTGGCCTAGGTCACAGAGCAATAGGTAAGTCTATTAATTATGTGAAAATTAGTTAGTCATTAGTATGATTTTAGTTGAAAAGACACACACAAACATACACTGCATGTTATATAATATACTGTATATAACCATGGCACCAGTCCTGAAATAAGTATTCCCTGAAATCTAACTTAGAAATCGATTAATTTATTGATAGAACATGATACATTTATATGAAGAAATATCTGCTCCTAGGATGAATGGGCATTGTTCAATGGTTCAAGTCCACCGTGAAAGAGGAAATTGTTAAGATTTTGTAAGTTACAACCAAACGTTTTGTGTATACATGGGGAAATTTGTTCTGAAGTTCCGAGTAATGGCGTTTGACTATTATGGAGGCTTTGATAGCTGTAGAATCAAATGTCGTTATAAAAGGTACAATCTGGTTATCGTGTTGAATGTTGAGTCCATTTGGCCTCACAGTCTGCAGTTGGTCGATCCAGTAACTTTCGCGCTGTAGACGTCTAAGCTTAGGTTTGATGCTAGGTGATGTAGAAACTGTTTCTATAGGCATGATGAGAAGGTCATCAATGGAATGATCGGGAAGGTTGAAGTGATTCGCAATTGGTCTATCCTTGTCATGGTAATTTTTTCTTAAAATGTCTGAAAGCGTGTCATTCTTAATTGTTCGAAGAAATCTTTTGGATTAACCCCTCTCCCTTAATTTGTCAAAAACAAGTTTACAGGCGGATTCAAAATCAGCCTGTTGGGTGCAAATTCTATGAAATCTTAGAATTTGAGATTTAATTATTTCAGAAAATGTGTCCTTCGGGTGGAACGAGTATAAAAGTTGGTGTGTATCAGTTTCCTTAAAAAATACTTTAATGTCTAATTTTTTAGGAGAAAGAAAGTTAATGCCTTTGAACACCGTGGTGTCCACATAATCCATGCTGTTTTCGCTGATATTTGCTGTCAATTTCACAGAAGGGTGGTGGTTGTTTAAAATTTCGAAATATTCCCAAAAATGTTCTAGAGTATCGGATCAAATGATAAAAATGTGAGTGTTTGTA